TGTGTGTGTGTGTGTGTGTGTGTGTGTGTGTGTGTGTGTGTGTGTGTGTGTGTGTGTGTGTGTGTGTGTGTGTGTGTGTGTGTGTGTGTGTGTGTGTGTGTGTGTGTGTGTGTGTGTGTGTGTGTGTGTGTGTGTGTGTGTGTGTGTGTGTGTGTGTGTGTGTGTGTGTGTGTGTGTGTGTGTGTGTGTGTGTGTGTGTGTGTGTGTGTGTGTGTGTGTGTGTGTGTGTGTGTGTGTGTGTGTGTGTGTGTGTGTGTGTGTGTGTGTGTGTGTGTGTGTGTGTGTGTGTGTGTGTGTGTGTGTGTGTGTGTGTGTGTGTGTGTGTGTGTGTGTGTATACAAAATTTATAAATTTGATTGAAGTACTCTCCTTTGTGTTTGAATATGTGTGTGTGTGTGTGTGTGTGTGTGTGTGTGTGTGTGTGTGTGTGTGTGTGTTAGGATTATTAAACGATATTGGACGTACAGTTTGGGAGGCTACTTTGAAGTTTTGGAGCCACCACTTTTGTCTCCATTACAGAAATATACTGGAAGTGAATTAAGAAACAAAGGGGTGTGAAAAAAGTGTCACGAGACTCAAGAATATTTCACCACAAATGAAGAACTTCTTATGTTTTCAAAAAATGTTTTTGAAGTGTTACTTTTTTTATTAAATTAATTCAGCTAAGAAGTAGATATAGAATAGCACATTTTTTAATTTATATGCGCTAGTGTAAATTTTTAATTTTTTTTATGGAAAAACTATTCATAGGCATTTTTTATTCATTTTTTAAATTTATATGCACTCATATGTAAGCTTCCAGTGTATGGTTTTATGCAATATATGTTCTAAATAAATTTTTAGTTGTTTTTATTCAAAAATTTTCGCTTAACATACACTTCTGTTACCTTAAGTACTATTGAAAAAAAAAAAAAAGAAAGAAAAGAAAAAAAACTATTGTTACCGGCCAAGCAACGTTGGTAGTTATATTTAAATTACGCGCGAAACCTGCCACCATGATTTACAAATCCTCGGGATGATTAGTTTAAATCCCTCACCACTTCGGCCACGTGACATTTGCAAAAACAGGTCCCCTGGCCTCGCCTCCGGCGCCAGCCGTATGACATATATCTATGAAGATGTCTGGAAAAAGCTTTCCCTTACCACTTGAGTATTATCCAATAATTTTTAGTTTATCCTAGGGCAAACTTCCAAATAAAAAACACATCACGTTTTTTGAATCATGCACGTGAACCGTGAACAAAAAAAACATCAATTACAATGACTGATATAAAAGCTTCAGGAACATTTTAAATAAATACAAATGACAGCGAATAACCGTATGGTTTCATGGTGAAAAAATTTATTGCAAGCGTTGAGAAAACAACTCTCATGCAAGTCATTTTGGCAAAGTCCTCGTCAGAACACTGTGCTCTCCTTTTATAATTGTGCGTGCACGATTCAAAATATTGTGAGAAAGGTACAACAACCTGCCTCGATAAATAGGTATATGTGTATTTGTGTCTGTGCCTATGAGACTAGAAACGTACCGATTTTAAAAATCTTTTATACGTACGACGTAAATTATACAAATGTCTTTTATTATTAATACTGTGACTATTGGAAATGATATACTAGATTTCAGAAACTAAACGTTTATTGTAGTCGGATTTTTTGTCTAATATTTTTATGTTATCCCATTGGAACGTGTGTTTATTAGATGTTTCATGCAACCATAGTACTAAATCAGGATCACTATTGTTCATATGCTCTCTTTTTCGTTTCCTTAATGTATTTTCTGTTGTTTCTGATTTTTTTCCAACCGTACACTACTCAAGTTAGTTTTTACGGGCACCCTCTACCACTGTAGTATGGAGGGTGTTAATCCTAAGTCCCTAACTCACAGAACCCAACTATGCCGTAACTGTTACTCTCCCCTTCTTGTTTTTTTTAAAGTGTAAGTGCACTGCACTGGTCTTTGTTCTTTACCTCGTAAAAATAAAAAATTCGATCACATTTAAAATTTTAGCTAGATTAGGTCAGTGATTTTCAATCTATTCAGGGCCCACCCTACCTGATTGATCTGTTTTTATTTAAGTTTATAGATAACAGGTTTTAAGTTTTTAAGTCTAATACAATTTAAACTAATGCGGCTTATCTTACTATAACACAAAAATAAAATGTTTTTGCAAAGATCTTAAAAACTACTATACCACTTTATCTTGAATTCTTACAGAAATTTAATTATAAGTTCTAATATATTATAGGCCACTTAATTAGCCAAACCTACAATACCATACATTTTGCCTCTGGTTTTCTTGTAAGTTGGGATGAATTTAAAAAAAATGTTCACATTATGATATTATATTATATGAAGGGAAAAAGTTTTTATGTTCAGTCGCAAAACTCTTAATACCAGTTTTTTCCTGAATTTAGACAGAAGTTTTATTAAAAGTTTGAATATCTCATGGACCAATAATCGCTAAGTATCCCCTCCGCCTCAAGCGCATGGTGAGATTTCTTATTTGGTCAAACCTCAGGTAAACATGGGCAATGAGATAATCCCCAACTTGTATTTTCGCCAAACCAATGTTCAACTTAAGTTTAGCCGATAAGTGTCCAAACATTGTCACACAAATAGCCAAATCTCCGATTAAATAATAATTAATAAGAAATAATCAAAAATATANCATGGTGAGATTTCTTATTTGGTCAAACCTCAGGTAAACATGGGCAATGAGATAATCCCCAACTTGTATTTTCGCCAAACCAATGTTCAACTTAAGTTTAGCCGATAAGTGTCCAAACATTGTCACACAAATAGCCAAATCTCCGATTCAATCATAATTAAGATAATACACAAATAATAAACTGGAAATTCACTTTATGAAAAAAGCCCTACTTTTGATGGTCTCCATCCATAGCCACCGAGATTCTGAACGCGACACAAGCACGCTAAACCATCCGGATACAACGGTATCCCAATAATGATTGTAATATCATTTTTAAACATAAAATTTTTATTATTTTTTATTATTTATTAGTTAAGAAAAAATTCGGCTTTTTGTGTCGTAAAGTTTAGCCAACTATTAGCTAACCTTGAGTCAAACATTCGTTGAGTAAAAACTCAAGTTAAGTACTTTCTCATTGCTTATGTTTAGCTTTTGCTATGGTGCAGCAAACTTAAAAATTTTTTCGCTGGTGAACTAAAAGCCAATGCTTTTAAATTAAAACGTTTTCAAACATCAAAATATGTTATAGGCAGTGGTTTATATAAATGTTTACCGAGAACAAGTATTTTTCAGCAGACGCTGAAAATTAAGTGCCATTTATAAAATAATTAAAAATAAGAAGTCAGTTGACATAGTTACAGTATTACTAAGCACATTCACTGTTGGTGAAGTCGATTACACTACAAAACACACTTTTCTTACTTTGAACGTCACTGTACTTTGATCAAAGAGAAATCACGAGTTTTTAACAGTAATTAAGCTTCCAAATTTATTAATTTATGTCATATTCAAAAACTAAATTTTAAATACTGCATTGTATGATCGTATCTTTTTTTTTTGGTGTAGCATCCGTAAGACATTAACAAACTAAGTGGACTAGGTTACAAAGTCTCACCAGAACAATGGTGCAGTGCTTTTTATGTAACACACAGACTAGAATCTTATCGTGTTTTTTAATACCTCCATAATTTAAATTTTTTGATGAACGCTGATAATAGCCTTTTGTGTTTGTAAAATAATAGTATAGTAGTATGTTGTAAAAAAAATGATATTTCAACATAAACAAAATCAAAAACCTCAAACATTTATACACTGAAAGTGGGTGAAGTACCAGGAGATACTTTGTTTTACATTCCAAAATCATTTAAAATGGATTAAAGTGTAATAAAAAAGTATTATATTTAAATACGAACAAGAGAAAATATTTTAAGCATTAATATATAAAGAGTTGGTAAAACTTCGGGGTTACGAGTTGATTATATTACTGTACAATGTAAATCGAAGAAAAAGCATTAAATCGTACAGAAAGTCTCTTCTGTAGGCAAACAAGAGTTTTTTATCGGCCCAAGTCCAAGGCTTCATTGGAAACGTTAGCCATCTATCCTGCTGAAAAGCCACTGCAGACGTATTAAGCGTCTAAAACACACTTAACAGGTTTTAGATTGGAAAAAAAATCTCCATTAATAATTCATCCTGTTACTCACTAAATGAACCAAACATTTTGTCTGCTCAGACTGCTGTTTATAGGCTAAATATTGTGTAACCTTTTACTATCTGCTAAAATGTATAAACCGTCAAATAAATTACTGACACATTGACGTGCACACGTGCATGCATAGTTAGAGACAGTTAATCCATACAGAAGATTTATAGTAACAAAGATGGTAATTAGATTACTAATTCAGAAGTTTTAATCTACTTCTTTCAATGATGGATAGTAATAGATCTCACATATCTATCTAGATGGAAAATTGACTAATAGATCATAGATAACAGAAAAATTAATGATAAAACAAGTATCAACAATTTTAAAGTGCAAAATCTGTAAGCTATTATAGAAGAAGACTTACCAGGTGTATTTTCTAGTTTCTTTAAATGGATAAGGACATCTTCAATGCTCATTACCATCTTCTGGGCAAGAGCAGGTATTGATACTGTAACAGTTGAACTTGTTTTATAAAATGTATTATTTTCTTTCGATAAAGTAATTGCTGCTGATAAAAGAGGTGACTGAAAATGTTTCAAGTTACTATTTTAAATGAATTTTTAGTACTACACAAAAGGTTCTCTATATCTGTTTACTCACAAATTCAGCAGCCTCTTCCAAAGTATGGATATTATTACTAGATATTTCAGCAATCACATAAGTACAAGGAAAAACATTAATAAATTTTTTTGGATGAAGTTCAAGATAATAGAGAAGAGTAGTTATCATTTCTTCTGAGAGATCTAAGGTTTTTACAGCTCCATGTACAGAGAAAAATATATCATGTCCTAAACATTGAGATTTTGAATTATTGTCATCTTGCCGAACACAATCACATCTGATAAATATTTTTTTTATCAAATCTCTTAAGGTTTGTCTATCTATACCCTTTGCATTAATATGGCGTTGTATTTCATACAAATCTGAATTTTCCTAAAAAATAAAATCGAATCATACTTAGCTATCGAACTTTTTTTACATTAACAACAAATTAATAAAGTAAATCGTATCAATATTTCAAGTTTCTGTTTATTTTTATTTCTAAAGTAATTTAACCTTATTGTACAAAAGAAACTATTCTGAGTAGACAACAGATTTATAACAACTGTGCAGTTTAAGACAATTATAAAAAAAATAAAAGGTACTATCTGCTGACATCAGCATAACATTTTTTCAACTTATAAATGTATGGAAGACTCTTACTGATATTAGCACAACTTTCAACATAAGCAAAATGATGTTTCTATTGACTAGTAAGGATAAGTCATATTTTGTATTTAAAATACATACATGGATGACTCTAAGAAAAACAAACCTTCTCTGGCTGAAAGGGTAACTAAAATCATCAGTAGATATTTCTAAAAAAAAATAAGTTGTGATAATCATTGTTGTAATTTTTGTTGAGATTTTTTCTCGGTCTTTTCCGATGGGATGAATATCCAGGATTCCAAAACACCACTTATCCGAATTTTAAGACAAATAGTGGTTTTTTCTAGAAATATCTAAACCTCCAGGGGCTTCATTTGCGAAGGAAAGCCAACACCTGGCCAGCTCATCGGGTAAAGTCACTATTCATTATAAAAAGGTCGGTACAGCGAGTTAGATGGTTTATTGGAAAAATATCTTTCCATTAAACCTGATAATAGCTGGGGTGTGCTTGAGACAATCTCTGCACCCTGTTAATAGTACCCAGTAGGATGGATGATCGAGTCGTCTGAGGGAAAATTTGCAAAGGGCCCGCACGAAAGATTCGCATACTTGGAAAAATTAATGGTATTTACGGAAAAAAAAACATAGGAGGTAAAAATGAGGTACAAATAAGATAAGTAAGAACCTTGGAATAGGGAAATGTTGGAATCTTAATACTATATTAATTAAATGACTTTTTCTACACACATTGTTTGCTGAAATTCAGAACCATCCCAGGGATGCTGAGTCTGATTCAACAAAGTAAATACAAAATTTGATACGATTTGATAAAAAATTATTTAGCTATCTTTAGAAAAATAAGAGAACATCGTTACACTAACAACAGATTAATACTACGTATAAGCTTACGATGAGATTTTAGTTAATTATTTCGCATTATGCATGATAGTATACACACCAAATGATTGAATGCTGCTATCTTATAAGCCTACCAATAATTATAGTAAATCTCAAACCTGAAAATAATGCAAAAAAAATTGAATATCACCACACTTATTTTTATGAAAGTAACATTATAACAGAACTTACAACTTTAGAAGCAGTGCTTGAAAAGTTTAGAAATAAGAAAAATTACATATCCTATTTAATTTGCTTCAGACCTTTCTATGCACTTAGTCTTTTATAATAAATAAACTGTTATCAAGCACGACGGTTTTGTGAATAGTAGATGAAATTCGAAGTAATTGTTATGATTAATAGAAAATATTTCACATTCTATTAGATCAATTGCAATTGAACAATAGTGATATAATTGAACTCATGTATGTGTGTGTTATATAGGCTGATAGAATTAGCTAATCCGCAGGATAAAATTACTTACAGTACTCACACAGTTTATTCGACGTATTTTGTCATGAGGAGCAAACCTTAAAAAAGCGCTTATTCAAAATGCAGACATCATTTACATGAAAACGATTTTATGTAAACAAATTCTAAAAAAACCGTGTTTTTAATTATACCTTGAAGTCTGCCAACAAAACCAACATTATGTGATATGCCATTTGTAGGTAATAGTAAAACGAACAATTTGCGACTGGAATTATTAAAATCAATTTATATTATTTTAGGATAACGATAAAAATTCAAACACTTCTTTATTTTTTTACGCCACCAAAACATTTTCAACAGCTCTGAAACTTAGTAAAAATATGTCTTCTGTACGCATAAAACTACTCAAATTTTTTCAGACAAAAATATTTTCAACTTTTTGAGAAAATGCGGGAGGCATTTGAGAAAAAATGGCCCAGCGGGAGCTAAATTATTTTGTTGTAACGTCTAGTTTATGACTTGGCAAACGGCATAACAATATTTGCAATTATTCATCAGCAAAATGATCTCTATAAAAGTGCAACTTTTTTACAAATGGTTTATCTGAAATATCTCACTGAAAAATTAACATATGGGCATAAAACTAGTATTTTCTAAAAGCTGGAATTTTTTTACGAATCAAGAAAATAAATACTGTTGTAAGATGTTTAAAAGCTGAGATAATTTTTTAAATTGTGTCTTACGCTATTTGTTTATTTAACAAAACAGACATTTAAAACTTGGACTCTAAGGAGTTTGATACTTGAAATTTTTATGTGCTGTATTTTTTTTTTTTTTTTAACTACGTTTTTACGGGCTTGTTCCAATGTTTATTGAAAAGCGCCAGATTAAGTTACAAAGACACGCTTGTCATATTTAACTAAAATTTTTTCGATAGAACAAGTTTAAATTGACATTTTCATGAAAAAAGCTTGTATCTAAGCCATTTGTGATACGATTTTGACCTTTTTTTATTTGTGGTAGAGTGCTAAAAAATTAACAACTACCGTTTTGCTATTGTTGACAATTTTTTAATTAGTTTATTATCAACAAATAATTTTTTTTTAAAGATGGCGCTTCAAATGAAGGTTCGGATATCAAAAAAATCGTTGACGATTGCTTAAATAGAAGCACTTTAACAACAAAATGCACAAAAGTAAGCTGAAGAGCAGCAGAAAAAAAAAATTACACCATTTGTACATTGTGTAAAAATTATGCTGTGGTACACACTACTTTATTTTTTTTTTAATTATTTTGGGGTACATTTAAGTACTTGCCCCTGCAATCATAAAAACGGGATTGAGAAAAGAGGAAGAAAAGACGAAAAGGAGATAAAGAAGAATAAGAAAGGGCACGCATTTTGCGGGATTAACACATCTTTACTTTCATGTATTTTTTAATCTATATGCCTAAAGAAAAAAAATTATTTGTTTGTAATAAATTAAAAAATTATCAAAGATAGCAATACGGTAGTTGTTAATATTTTGTCACGCTACCCTTATTGAAAAAAAAGTCAAAATCAGATAAAAATTACCAAGATACAACCTTTTTTCCTCAAGGCAAAAATTTGAAATTGTTCTATCCAAAAACTCTAGTTAAAAATGACAAGCGTCTTTTTGTTACTTGATTAGGCGGTTGTCAATAAACATTGGAACAAGCCCTTGAGAACATAACATTTAAAAAAAATACAGGGTATAAAGAATTAAAGTATTGAAATATCTACAGTCCAAGTTTTAAACGTTTGCTTTGTTAAATAAACAAATGGCGTAAGATACAATTGAAAAAATATCATCTCGGATTGTAAAAATTTGACAAAAATTTTTTTTTAACTCGTAAACAAATTTCAGCTTTTACTAGAATATACTAGTGTTATGCCAATATATTAATTTGTTAATGAAATATCCCAAAAAAATCATTTGTAAAAAACTTTTTACTTTTGTAAAGACCATTTTGTTGATAAGGAATTGGAAATATCGTTATGTCATTAGTGAATTCAAAAATTAGACGTTACAACGAAAAAAATGAGCTACTGCTGGGTGCTGTCAGATGACTTCAATCAGATCAGATTAAATCAAACATTCGACATTTTTTTAGTAAATAAATTTATTTTCTCAAAAAGTTAAAAATATTTATTTACATTCCGGTTGCAAATTATTCGTTTTAATAATACCTACAAATGACATACCACAAAATATGACGTTCGTGGGTTGGCTTAAAGATATTATAAAAAAACACGATGTTTTTGCATTTTTTTACACACAATTTTTAATAAACAAATGATGCCCACGTATTGAACGGGCACTTTTTTAAAGATATGTTTTTTACCACCAATTACATCGAATAAATTATGTAAGATACTGTAAGGAATTTCATCTAAGATCAGCCTTCTAATGAGCTAATTCTGTCAGCCTAATATACATATGCACGGGCATTAGAAATTTTCATGGTAAGCAACTTCAACAATTCGCTGAGATTTGAGCTTATTTAAATTATTAGATCAAACAAGAAAGGAGCTGAGAGAAAACGGATGGATTCGTAATAATGCAAGCAACATTAATTTAGTTACTAAATTATCCTTTGCTTTAACTATTTTTTTATTGAAACGGCACAACATCCATAACAGGGACCAACTAGCATCTTTTTATTAATTTTGCTTGAACTTTTAAAATAGATGAGCACGTAGAAACACAAATGCAAATATAAGCTTTATTTGTCGATGTCTACAATCAATAGTATTTTACACCGTAATGTTGATTTATCCAGCAGGAATGATATGAATAAGTTTTTTTTCTTTTAACTCTTTTCTTATTTCATTGCATTTTTAGAACAAGATTGAATATCGAAAATTTTTTGAACTACCCAAGTAGTATGATAGTTTTCATCACAAAAGTGCCATCGCCTCGAGGGCTACACTGCAGCTCAAAAGAAAGTAAGGTAGCCCCAGATGAAAAGCACTTATGTACTGAACACTGTTTTTCTTACGGAGGGTATACCAGATCTTAAAAAACGCTCAAGGTAGGAAATGAAACTTCACGTTACTATGGCACAAAGCATAAATATGAGCTCCCGAAGGGTGTGGTTGTTGTGTGTTTGTACTCGAGTCACGTATACAATTTTTTTCCTAAGGGCACAAAATGCAATTTAGCGCCCGTTGGCACACTTTGCACTCTGTTAATTACTTGAGGCCTTAAGTCAAAAAAATACTTTGTGCCTGGAGAGCGCGAAAAAACTTTTCTGCCCGTGAGCTCAAAGTTATTACAAGGATAAAAAACTGTGGCCCAAGGGCGCAAAGTGGCAGTTGCACTTGGAGCCCATAGGAAAAAAAAAGTATGGAATGCACATGCAGACACTTTAAGAGGGTAGAAACCGTTGGACAGTGGGTACTTGGGTACCCAAGTATGAAGTTATATTTATAT